TCTCATGACCAGTGGGGGAAACCACACTGTGTGACTTTTACTAGAGAAAAGGGGAAAAACAAAGTCATCTTTGGAGAGACCATCAAAGGCTTTTTATGTTCTATGTCAGTGTTTCCCAAACTTCTGTAATCAAAAACTACCTGGGGGACTTTCTGAAAATATGAGTTCCTGGGATTCATCCCAGAACCATGGAGTCAGAATCTGCAGGGTGGGGATAAGAGACTTAGAAGCTCATTTTTTTTTTTGACAAACTCAAAGAAATACTCACTTTTAGGAAAGTTCAGGAAATGCTTCTGTGTCACATGCTCTCGTTCAGGAGGGTCTCAAATTATGGCCCGTGGGGCCACACCTGACCTACCACCTACTTCTGCATAGCTCGAAAGATAAGAATGGATTTTATATTTGTGATAGTTGGAAAAAAATCAAAAGAAGAATATTTTGTGACATGGAAAAATAATATAAAATTCAAATTTCAGTGTCTAAGAGGAACTCAAGTGTTACTGGAACACAGCCACACTCATTTGTTTACTGATGTCTATGGCTGCTTTGTGCAAGAACAAGAAAGGTGAATAGTTGTGACAGAGACCATATGGCCTGCAAAGCCTAAAATATTTACTCTCTGGCCCTTTCCAGAGAACATTTGGTAATCCCTGCTCTAATTCTCTGAGCCTTAGCAGTCCATACCCATGGCCCTCCTTGGACCCATATGTCAAAACCAAGCTGTGTGTCACCCATTGGCATTACCTGCATGAGATGCAAATTTACCTGCTGTCAACCTCATGCTCCAGTCCGTGCAAGACCCACCTTGTAAAGATGGCTCACACCCCTCCCCCCGTCCTCCAGCACTGTGATATGGGAGGGTACCTTTGACACCTCTCCACCTACAGCTCCTCCCCAGCACCCCCACCATGCCCAATCCTACCAGTACACTCTGGTGCAAGTAACAGAGTGCAGGGAGCCCTGGGCTTTGTTTCATTAGCACTCCTCTGAGAGGCAGGACAGCCCAGGCCCCCAGATTTCATGCCGAAAGACCTGAACGTGCCCCCACTCAGCATTTCTACAAACTAGACCCACAAAGTCCTGCCCTGAGCCCAGCACTCTCCAGGAGGTGGTCATGAGTGTGTCCCATGGAATCTTCCTCGGCTTCAGAGGGTAACTATTAGAATGTGGCTCCAGGGCCCCTTCTCTGAGAATCTGATGCAGCAAATAGGCCACAGGTGAGTGTGTGTACCTGAGCTGCAGTGATCTGAGTAGTTTGCTCAATGTCAATCTCTCATTCTGTTTGCCCCATGACCAGGGAGCCACTGTGCTGGCCCTGGATGAGCAGCCTACCTCCAGATTCCTTATACGTGAAAGGAAAAACATAAATGTCTGTCTTTTTTAAGTCTCAGCTATTTGAGAGTTTCTGTTGCATGCAGCCAAACCTATTTCTAGTCCAAACCCCAGTGTTACAGATGGGGAGACTGAGGCCTTGAAAACGAAAATGACGGCTTAAGGCCATCCAAGACAAGCTCAAGCTTTCAGTGCCTTGTTTTGCGTTGGTTGGTGATGTCTTGTGCATACACGACCTTTGCATGGATGGTGTTTTTTGCTCTTACGACCCCGTTAGGTGGGGGACAGGTGCTTATCGTTCTCTGAGATATCTTCAGGATGTCCTCTACAAGAATTGCAACAACCAACATTTTACGACCACTTTCTTTGCCATACGTCATTCGAATAATAGCCATTATTCAAATAATTGGCATTCATTGTACCATACAGAACCCCCAAGGACCCCAGAAGATGTTCTACTGAGCCTAAGAGAATGGCCTACCAGGGCCAGGACAACTGGGTACAGAGGGCAAAGCAGAGTGGTGCCAAACCACAATGACATGGCCACAGTGACATAGCCAGGCTGGGTCAGCTTCATTGCCCCACCTTGGGAAACATGCGGAAAATCTCCTGGTTGATGTGGTAGATGCCGCTGGTATCCACCTCATACTTGAGCTTCGTCCCCAGGGGAGTGTTCTTCTGGGTGGTGAAGAGGAAGGAGGGGGCGTTGCAGCACCGGGACAGCGTGGACCTATGGAGCAGGAGACAGACGGGAGAGATTGGTGACACAGGGCAGAGCAAGCCTCCTGAAGAACAGCGGGGTCATGGAACTGAGGCCCCTCGGGAAGACAAGGGAGAACCATTTTCTCCCCACCACCCTGTCCCACCCCACACATCTGCTCATACTGTCCTCTCTCCCTTCCATACTCCTCCCAATGCCAAGGCCTTTCAGGGTCCAACCAGGTTTCTGTCTGTGAGCTACAGCTGCCCTGTCCCCACCGACCACAATGGCTTCTGAAGAACTGGAGCACAGACTGGGTCCCACCTGCTTCATTATCTGCCAGCTCCCTCCCTGCTTGAATGAAAGGCCCTAGAGGGCAGGGACCCTGCCTCTCCGCGTCCTGCACCACAGCAGTCACACGAGTGTTCGACTACCCGGTACCTGCCGATTACGGGATGAATCAATTCATCTGAGTTTTCATCAAGAGCTGCTAAGCCTCCTACTGCATCCCAGAAACACTAGTTAGCCAGCCCTCAGGAAACCCAGGGATGCAGAGCTCTTCCTTACGTTCTTGGCCCCCATACCAGACTCAGGACAAGGTGTTTACCCGGTCAGATGGGGGTCAACAGAAATGTGCCATTTCAAGCATTTAGAAACTGTTTTAGGAAGAGGGGAGGGCCAGAAATTTGGGGTGATGGGTGGATAACCGGATGGCTTCCTGCAGAAAGTAGAACCTGGCTTCCAAAAGAAGCTTTCAGGCGTTCACTATTTAATAAAAAAATAAATAATAATAACCTTTTGGTTTTCCCTCACTAAAACACTCAAACATGAGCTCCAAAAGAGTTAAAGCTGAGATGATGCAAACAGGCTTAACACAAACACCCTCCAAGGAAGAATGTGGTTGATGAGGCCAGCGTGGGAGTCAGCCAGGCCAGGGAAGCCTGGTTTTTCTCTTCTCTGCAGCTGCCGTCCCACCAGCAGTGCATTCTTCCAGGCCTGCTGGCGAAGCTTGGTGATAGGGTCAGGTCCTGGGCCCACCTTGCTCCCGTGCCCTGGGGACCCAAAGCCCTCTGCCCTGGCTGCAGAGGAGATGGGCTTGACAGAATATAAATCGCCGCCCTCTCACACCAGGGACTTTGGGCCCACGAGGACCCGCTTTCTCCTAACACAGCAGCAGTGGGCTGAGTACAACCCAACCTTCTTCCCCTGACATTGGCTCCTGGCAAAGTCACATCCAAGGTCTAGGCAACCATGGGAGAAATGGAACACCTTCCCCCGAGGAGCCTGGATGATGGCCACTAACTAAAATTGAGGAGGAGCTTTCTGGAAAGTTCACACCCAAGGTCTAGGATGGAAACTTGGCTTGCCAACCTGGTGTCAGGAAGCCTGGGTTCTAGTTTCTGCTCTGCCCCCAACAGCTGTGGGGCTTCGGGCAGGTCTCTTTCCCTCTTGGGCCTCAGTTTCCCCCTCCATAGAATACAGGGGCTGGCTCTTCTGAGCCTCTGTAATTCCGTGACTCCAGGTTGCCAAATCCAAGAAGGTTACGCAGATACTTTTTTATGACCTTATCTCTTATAGGGACTTCACTGAGGAGTTCGGCTGGCTGCCGGTTACCGAGAACATTCTTTCCTACGGAGGGTTGGGTTTCAGAATGTGACGGAGGCTTCACCGAGGGAAGGCCAGAGGCCTGGCCAGGCAGGGGCCATAGGTCAGCATGCCAAACAAGCATCTGGCCTGCTTAGCTTTGCTGGTACAGAAACTCAATCTTGTCAGCCCACTGGAGAGCACCCCATTCCGGGAGACTGACTCATACTAACCAACCTCACAAGAGACTGATATATAAACCAGAATGCCACTGTATCTACTTGGAAGCAGTAGCGTGAGGGAAGGCCTCCGTTACAGGATTCCTTTCCCGTAACCGCAATGCTTATGTCTGTCTTCTAGCCCACCCTCCCCACCCTGCCCCACTTAACTGCATTGGGCTCCTGTGAACTTGAATTGAGACGCTCATCATTGTTCTATGGGCTTGTAATGAGAACAAAGGTAGGTGACTGACCGGCTTGAAGGTTTCTCCATTTAGAGCATGGCAAGACCTCCCTTTCCCACACCCGAAACCACTCTCCCACTTCCCCTGCCAGAGGGTCTCAGCCCCCCAGAGCCTCTCCCCTGGAGGGCACTGGCTGATCCCTACCAAAGGCTCTCACACGTCTCTCTGTTTTTCTCCTGCCACACCGTCTCCCGGTTACTTCATCATTTCCTTAGATACCTATGTGAATCCCACTTGATGAGGCTTCTGTCTACACACCTGACCAGGAGCCTCTCAATTCTATTTAATAATACGTTCTACCTGAGCTAAAATAATACCATAAGTTTACAGAATTTTAGAGGTGGAGGGGACCCTGCAGTTCACCATTAATCAAAAAGAGTGTTTGGATATTGCCAGCTGCTTAGCTCTCAAAGGCAGGGGAAATTTCAGATATAGCTCTTGCCTCTCTGGGAGTTTATAATCTGTCGATGTGGGTTAGAGAACAGCTAGAAGATAATCTACAGCAGGGCTCAAATGTGCAGTACAGGCGGTAAGAACCCAAGAGCTCCAAGAAGGTGGGGGTGCTGAGTAGGAGCAGCTGCCCCCCGAGTGGGGAGAGGAACAGAGTGAGGCCTTAAGGTGCTTAAGGTGCCTTAACACACAGGCCAGCTGGAGACCTGCAAACCGCTTCACCATTATGTCTCAGCTAACCTCAGCTGTGCTGGAGATGACACCACCGACCTTGCAGGGCTGCTGCAAGGACTCAGGCTGAGACTGGAGGACGGCAGCCAGCAGGTGCCCACCTCAGCCTGCATGCTTAGTCAGAGCCTCCCTGCCCCCACTGCCCAGACCCCAAAGCCCCATCAGGGCCAGCTCCCGGGAGATGCCCCTGGGGCTGGGCCTTATAGGACGAGGAGGGTCTGAAGAGGTGGCAGGAGAACCACCCAAGCAGAAAGCCAGGCAGGACAGATGCGTCATAGGTACTTGAACTGGTTGGCTTCAGAGATGTTCATCGCCCATTTGCACATCTGCAGGCTCCTCCACCTGTCGAACAGCTCCGACTGCTTCACCCTTGGGGAATGGAGGACAGAAGAGTCTGTGAAAGGGCCAGGCTGGACAAAGTGTCGTCAGTCCTAAACATGCCCCCTTCCTGCTCCCCACATATGCCAAAGCCTGGGCTGGTCCTCTGTATTCACTGTATCTTCTTATTGTCTGTGTTCTTGATGCTCTGGTTCCTAGGGCCTTGCTAATTCCTAGAGATGGCAAACTCTCCCGCAAGCACACCTTTCATATCACACCAGCCAATCCAGAGCCCATATCCTCACCCACCTTCTTTACCCACTGAACCACCAGCCCCTGCCCTAATCACCCCAGGGTCAGGTATCAGATCACCAGGTGCAGTCCTTATGCCACAGAGCCCACCGAAATTATTCAGACTAGCCGATCCGAAACCTGTCTACTCCGCCTTGCCCATTCCTTCCCATGAAAGCCACACTGAAGGATCTCGCCCAGGCCATCCCCTCACCCCTCTGCCTCCCACCAATGCTAGTGTTTCCCCGTGTGGCCCTGCATGGCGAGCTGTGCCTCCAGTTTCCAGGGATCTGTGTCCTTCACGATAGTCATTTCCGATTCTGTGTGTCTTACCACATCTGATTAAAACAAATGCTGGGTACATTTTAAAAACATTTTTCCTCATGTGCCCACTCCCCAAGGACCTACCAGTTGTCTCAGGAACATCTGTCTATAAAGGGGATGAGACTACTTCCCTAAGGGAATGTCTGTCTGTACATCACCCACACTGTGCTCAGCACACAGTAGGGCTCATGACAAGGGCACGCCTCCCCTTTCTCCTTTCCAAGGGCAGATCACAATTTCCAGATGACAGAAAGGAAGAGATCAGAAACCTGAGATGTGCTCCTTTTGTCTGATCAACCATCTGCAAGGTTTTACGCCAGTCTGTTTTTCAACATCTCGGCTCCTGATATCCTAAGGCACACTCTGGAAGGGGCGTGTCTAAATCACAGGGGAGTCTCCCTTTGACTGAAACCAGCAAAAAGCATTGATCAGGGAGGGGGCTCCTTTCCCACTGAGCAGTGCATCAGGCTAGAGTTCCTCAGAAACACCGGGAAATGCGGGACAGATCATAAGTTCCTTAAAAGACAGCCACGACTTCTCCCTCCTGACCACACCACAGTCTCCATCCCCGTGCCAGACAACCTGCAGCTGTTCAGGGTCACCTGGCTCTGAACCCGTTCAGAAGATGGCTGGTCTTGGGCGTGGTACAGAAAGCGGCCCTTTCAAGGTCAATCTGGTTTGGTCATGACTGGGGAAGTGACCAGGTCCCAGGAGCTGGCTGTTACCAAAAAACTGCTATAACTGTGGTTCTTACTCTGAGGTCCACGGAAGGGCTTACGAGAACTCATGAGCCCTCTGAATCATAAGCAAATCCCATGTCTGTCCACCCCCCGCCCCCTGCCCAGGAGCACATCCTTGGGAGAATCTGAAGCTTCCATCAACTTCCCAAAGGGGTCTATGGTTCCCTCCAAAAGGAAAATAGTTAACCAGAAGATACAAAACGGGTTCATTTTACAGAGCTGCATCCCTTTGTTTAATTGGAGGGGGAAATAGTTGTTCTCAACCAGGGCAAGCCTCACCTATAGAGGAAATACATGACTGGTGGGGGGAGGCGTGATTGCAGGAAAAGTTATAGAGGATAGTGACTAAGCACATGGATTTGGGAAGCAGATGGGGACTTGGGCCTCAGAGCCAGTTCAGACATGCCCTAGCTATGGGACCTGCTCAGCGGCTATGAAGAGCTGCAAGGAGCCCCCTCTCCCATCCTTAGCCTTCCTTCCGGCTTTCCCAAACTTCTCACAGCAGCTTGCACCTCTTAAGTTCACATGACCCTGGAGGAGAGATGTTATTACACAGAGGCACCCTGGCTCGCCCACTGCTTCCCTCCCCCACTTCCTGCACCTGCAGGCCCCTCGAGCAGCCCCCTACACTGCCAATGCCAGAAACATAGCTGTGGCAACACTGCAAGCTGGGGGCCCAAGTTCAACTGTTACCAGTGTCAGGGCCCCATCCTCTGTGCCTCCAATGCCCGCGTCATACACTGGACCAGGGTTGGGGCCTGAACACCTAGCCTTGAATCCTGGCTCCATCCCCGACGTGCAACGTAACCTCGGATAAGTCATTTAATCCCTCTGAGACTCAGCTGCTTTATCTGTAAGATGGATATAGTAACCTGCGCCCTGCCGATCTCAAAGGTTGTCAGAAAGATCAAATGAGATACTATATGCAAAAATATTTTATAAATTGCTTTACGAATGCACAGATCATCTCTAAAGATGAAGGGTTGATCTCAGGCACTTATGTCCTTTCTCCCAAGACACCATTAATACTCCAGAAGAATAAAAAAGGCATGAACCTACCAGATAAATAGAATAATGAGAGTGGGGGGGTTTCGGTGGAAGAGAGATTTCAACAAGTGTGTGGAAGGAGAAGGGGTGACATAGGAGGGATGGTACAGCCCAGAGATAGAGCAGATCTGCATGGAAAATTTTAAAGGGAGGTGGAGGGCAGGGAAAGGACATGGTGTTAAAATGAAGATGAGTTGTGAGTCCCTATCCAGAAACATCAAGCCCACCCCACGGCAGCCAAATACTTAATGTCCAATGCGGGGAGGGGGGTTGAATCAGACTGTCAGTTCCTGCCTAAAAAAAAATTTATCCTTCCTAGTGCGAAGATCTGGGCATCTAGCAGCAAAAGGGCCAGCAGCATCTTGAACACCTACCCTCAAGGAAAGCCTGCTCTCAGACTCAGAGTTCCTATCAGCTTTGTGTTGTTTAATTTTAAATATGAATAGATAGCCAAGGATCGATCACCTGGTCAACCTGAAGGAAACGGACCAAGATAAACCATCAGATAAAATGACCACAGAGAATTTATCCCAAGAAATCCAAAACACTAACTCGAAAAGATAGGTGCATTCCTATGTTCACTGCAGCACTATTTACAATAGCCAAGATGTGGAAGCAACCTAAGTGTCCTGTCCCTTGAAAGACAAATGGATGAAAATGTGGTATATACTCGTATATACAATGGAATATTACTCAGCCATAAAAAGAATGAAATCTTACCATTCATGACAAATGGACCTAG